CAGAAGCGGTGTTTAATCCAGCTTGCTCGGTTTAACGCCCGAAAATTCCTTGTTATGATAACCAAAAATGCTGAATTCTCGCGGTTTTTGCAGGGGAATGCAAAACTTATTTCTTCCGGCATCACGGGAGTGTTAGATTTCGAATGATCGGTCGCACACTTCGGTGCTTGTAATTTCAAACGAAGGAAGACACTTACAAAATGCTGTATATACACATATTAGCCCGTTCGTCTGTATTGTTATGAGACGCGGGCGCTTACCCTGAGGAGAAATGTTGTGACAAATTAACGTAATAGGGAACAATGTAACTTAGCGTTTCGTGATTTGCATTCGCTCCGAGTATTATCACAGTGGTTAAGATTGTGATAGAACGCCCGTGTAACTACAACGTGAGAACGAAGAAACTCTTATGAGAATTTGGTGGGGAAATCTTTCCAAAGTGACAAATCTTATGGCCAAAAGTATTTTAAGGAAATGGGCATCGGTAATGTGAATTCGAACAGAACTGTTCAGATTATGGTCTTCTCGGATGTGACACCGCGTAATCCTATCGATGGGCCGCTCCATAGCTCAAGCGGTTAGTCGCTGGCTTCCCACCGCGGCGGCCCGGGTTCGATCCCGGGTCTGGCCAAGTGGGATTTGTGGTGGACAAAGTGGCGCTGGAGCAGGTTTTCTCCGAGTACTTCGGTTTCCCCTGCCAATCTTCATTCCACCAATTGCTCCACAATCACCCTCACCTATCATCTGGGGCTGGTACAATAGGCCAGAAGTGGCCACATTACAAGGGACTTAGTCCCACCCCACTAGCAATAAAATAAATCCTATCGATGGATATGAACATTTCGGAGGAACATGCTACCTCCATCTTCAGATTTGAACATTGGAGATGAAGGCAACCTGATCCTCTGAAATGTTGGCACCCACAAATAAGACATTTCCTGTGCAGCGTTCGATTTGTGCCTTTAAGTGACATCGCCAGTTCTACAACCCATTCAGCCTCCTGTTCAATATATACCGGCAGTTCTTTGTCAAGGGACAAAGCGACCAGAGCGCGTGGTTGACCACTCACCTCCATCAAGTGCCAAAATCCTGCGGCATGACGTTTAGATGCAGAGATTGTCTTATCGTTGTAAAGCAGTAACGTCGCATCTTGAACCCACTCAACCTTCTTTCCGATGAGTATCGCGGGGCTGGAACCTGAAGCTGACGACTCGCCTCAAACTACTGCCGAAATTTAGAATGTGTGGAGCATTAACACCATTCCCCTATACACATTTACGGCTCAGAGCAAGGGGTAACTTCTTGATTTACATTTCTAACAGTGGATAATCTTGATTCGCCCACAATGATAATGTTCACAGCACATTACAAGCATTGATTGATCACTTCCTGAGCACAACCCCCCCACAAACCACAACTGGTAATCACAAAGCGGTGGAAAATAAACGTGAAATAGCGCGTCAAGACTGGCTGGTACAACGTGAACAACAAAAAGAGCTTTTGTTTCATGTTGACAATGCACAGGAGCTTCGAACCGCTAGATTTCATTTGTCACGCACGTGTATTTTCGGAATTGCCGATCGCAATTTGAATATCACGGGCATGCTACTTGTAAAATGTGTGGTTATCATTAGCATAAATTGCACGACATGAAGATACATGGGGGGGAGGTTCATGTGCATCCGCCCGTCTCTCTGCATGCTTCATCTCTGTAAATAATGAATTTGATTTTGGTATCAGTCGAACATATGTCGCCCAGTTTAAATGAAGGTAAAAATTAATAATTTTCCTAAAAACCCACCGATCCAACAATTGTTACATACAATAAAATAACTCTCTTATTATGGTCTTCAACTTTTAGGTGCAATTATTTTCCATACTGCAAATTTTAACCAACTGCAAGAATAAATTTCTCTCACTAATATCTGTAGTTTAGTTTACTTTGCAACAGTATGATTTTTTCTTCTACATGTGGACATTAAATTAGGCAAAAAAGCGTTTAAATTGTTTTTCACAGGAGAAACAACTATTTTATTATTTCTGGTATTTTTTAGTTACCAGTATTTTGTGGGAGAACTATTATGTTCCCTTGCAAACAGTTTCTCACTTAATTTTATTTCAGAACCTTATTTCTAACAAACTATTTCACCTTCATCACTTGAGCCTTCTCTTTTTTTCCAAAACTAACCCAATATCTTCCATTTCTTGAAGAAATAAATGCTACTTTTAAAGGCTAACAAACTATATAATAATAAGTAATAATATTATATATAATACACTCTATTTCAGAATCTTGCTACTTAAAAAATTAGTAGTGGTAGTGCTAGCAGCAGTAGCAGTAGCAGCAGCAGTAGTAGTAGTAGTAGTAGTAGTAGCAGTAGTAGTAGTAGTAGTAGTAGTAGAATAATGATGTTGATGATGATAATAATAATAATACAAATCGACGACAGTGGTGGTGATGACGACGATGACAACTATGATGATATGGTTCCCCTTGCTTACATGGTGACTGAACAGCGCAATGGATACATATGAAGTAGAAGAAAGAAAAAAATCATTGCAAACTACTGCACATATTTCCTCACATAAACTACATAACCTTGGAAATGAAATCAATTGCTGCTTGGCAGACAATTATTGGTTGGTGAATACTGAACAAGAATGACATCCATCTGACAACGTTGGTGTGGAGGAAACTGCCATTTCACTTTTAGGCCCCCACTGCATGTACCATTATTTTCCTCAAGATACATGTACAGTCTTCTTTACAGATATGGTCTCCATAAACTGCTACAATTTAATCGAAATCATTAGAACCGGTTTAAAAAAATTTCCAATTTGTTTTGGGACCCATCTGGCAGACCATTATTCTTGGAGCTAGAATGTTCAGATTCGCCGGGAAATGATCTAGGACCTGTATATTTCTGAATAAAAAAAAAAGTAAAGCTACCCCTGTACCAGGCCGTGAAGGCCCAGAGGGTTGTGAGATGTTGAGGGTCCCACATTATCTAGACAATCGGCTCAAAGATGGCGGTCAGCCTTATGCGCCGGCCATGCTTTACTCCCCAGGAAAATTAATTAATTCCTGGTACTCATTTCTGTTAGAGGCTGAGTAAACCCCAGGGCCTAGTGCGGCTGGAAGGATTAGGTCAACTGAAAAAAATCCAACGACTTCATCGGGACTTGAACCCGCAACCTTCAGCTTGTAGCATAACCCCTCAACCACTATGCTACAGCATGCCCCCGTACATTCCTGAATACTGAACATAAATAAAATCTGTTCAAAGATTCAGCTGCTAGCAAGTTGCACAGACTTGCCTATACACACATACATATAAAGTGCACAGTTTATAGGTAGACTGGTTCCACACAGCTGACATGGCACAGGCCTGCTGCATCGGCAATAATTCATATGCCATCCTCCTTTACTAAAATATTCTTCCAAAGGACATGAAACCAATTTTTCCAAGTGAACTGTACCATCAAAACGTCGTGCTTTGTAGGTACAGCCATTTCTTGACAGTTGGAGAACATGAAAATATCTTCCCATACAGACAACGAAAATATCACACTTCTAGTCCTACTGACACAGGCCATCAGGTTGTTCCTTTGAATTAATAGCAAGAATTACATAAGTTAAATATGGTATGCTATTCCCTGAGCAGTATGCATGATATAAGTGAAGCTGAAAAATATATGTGGTCTGACACTAAAGTTCACGAACTCATAGCAATAAAAGTGCTACTTATCTCATTGCTGAATATCACTGTCGTCACCTTCAAGTACTCCCCTTAGGAAGCTATGTACCGATGCCAGGGCTCAGTCCACCCTTCAGAACAACTTTGAACTGGTTTTGTCGAATGGCCTTCAGAGCTGCTGTCATATTACTCCTGATGTCATGAATGGCATGAAAACGCCTTCCTTTCAATATTTCCTTTATCTTTGGGAACAGAAAAAAAGTCACTGGGTGCTAGATCAGGTGAACAGGGAGGGTGTTCCAGCACAGTTATTTGTTTACTAGCTAAAAACTCCCTCACAGAAAGTGATCTAATTTCTGCTCCAACATCCTCGTGACAGCCCACCAAAACACACTCAGACAATACGAGACGCCACTCGAAAAAGACTGCCATAGGTCAACAACACAGCTGTGAAACGCTGATATGCTAATAGCATCAAACCATACTGAGGTTTCTGTCCACTGCTGCCATTGCAAGCACACAGTGGCGAGTTCATAAACTTATCGTCAGACCTCATATTCACAATATTGGAATATTTTCATTATATGACTGGCAACACTGCTGAAACCCTGCCATAATGTTGCTCAAGGTCAGATTGCAAGCTGCAAGTGTAGTTCAGCTGAAGTCCATCTGTGGCAGGCAGCAAGGTGTAAAGATGGCTGGACCAAGGTACAGGTAAAAGTAAAGTTGTCCCTGTGCTTAATTGATTACTCAATCAGTATGTCCTAAAGACATATGAGGGAGTGAAAGTACAGCTCCACCATTTTTTACCCTGGCACTAGTTGAAGGTAAGTGATCAGCTTCACATCCCAGCTGCTAAAACCCCAGGGGAATCACCCTCTGGTAACCAATGGATAAGAGGCTTGGTGAGCCTCAGACTTGGACCCAGTAGAAAAAGAAAAATCTTATCATGCCAGCAATCGAACCTGGGCTGTCCAGCCTGTAGCCCGTTACTTTACCAATTTCTCTTCTAGCTGCTTGCTCAGGTTATTCTTTCAGTCTGAAGATGGGGACAGCACATTCCTCTGAAACCACGATAAACTTCTACCAGACTATACAGCATCACTTCCCAGAAGAGTGAATCCCATACTCAGTCATTTCACTTAGTTATCACACTCACAATCACTAACCTTATATTTCAAAGCAATAAATACAACAAGGAGAAAGGGAAATAACTAATGGGTTTTTGAATCAGGACAAGTTTGGAATTTACAGGTCTACTGGTATCCTAACCCCAGTTACTGTCTAGAAAATGGCACCTCATTTCTTAAACCACATTACTGCATTTGCTTTATTTTATATTCTATTACATGCGTCTTGCATTATTAAGTTCTGGTACACTAATTTTGCTTTTAATTTGGCTCTTGCATATCAAGCCTGTGTGTGTGGTCCAGATAAGACAGGGCGAGAAATCAGCAAGGTCAGATGCATATTCAGATGTTGTGCAATTTGAGCCATCTTCCTTACTATCTGCTTCATGCAGCTCCACACCAGGTATTCATCTGCAATGTAGCCATCAAAATGTAGGTTATTCACATTGTGTAGAATCCTACGAGTGTTGTTTTTTGCATTATTACAAATATTTGCAGCAGCAGATATGAACATAGTAGTACTATTTCATAAAGTGCATGCAAACACAGACTTCAAAGATGTGAATGGAAAACATGATCACTCCTGCAATAATTTTGGCTGTAATGTTTATGTTACTGGGTAAGGAATGAAATAGGCTGGTCACGGTACCCAAGCAATCTAAGTCATACACTGTCTTCACTCACTCAGAAGCCGGGATCTTGGGTTAGAATCCCACTCAGGGCATGGATGCTGAGTGAGAGAGAGAGTGTGCATGTGTGTGTGTGTGTGTGTGTTGTGTGTGTGTGTGTGTGTTCGCAAAATATAAAACTTACATCACATTTATCAACAACAGACAAGACTAACGTACTTTGTTACTTGTCAATCATTTTATAATTAGACTTCAAGCTAAAAAGAATTTGTGCAATTTTTATTTCAACAGGTTATATTTGAGTATGCCAAGGAAGCAGCGTCATCAGCAGCGACTTGAAGCACAGAGCAAATGATGCTCGAGATGGTTCAAGTTCGTATAGCAACAGGCGTGACCAGAGTAGTTTGAACGGCTGTTGTACTGCGATGTGGAAAGCAAATGGAAGAACTACCACATTATCACTTTTCCTGGATAGTCTCTTTCCAAAAACAGACACACCATATATGCGAACCAGAAGATGAGGAAGAAGACGTAAGAAGATGCTGGATGACCTTGGGGACAGAAGAGGATATTCTCATTCTCATTTGAAGGAGAAAGCTCTGGATCTCATTAAGTGGAGGAACTATTTTGGAAGAGACTCTGAGATCTGTCGTCTGGCAGATTACTGATTACTAATGAATGTGCTTCTATTGTGTCTTCCTCAAACTGCAGCTCTCAAACACTGAGGGGCAAATAGTAGGTTGTTTCAAGAATGAAGGTGTGGAATGCTTGTGACAGTCATTCTGGTTAAAAGGATCAGAAATTATGATGCAAACACATTCCATGAGGACACAATTCAGTGAGACAGGTAATCAAGAGGGCCTATGGACATACAGTCCTTATTATCTCTTGTAGCCTGCTTCTATATACAGTTGAAGATCTAGTACACGCATGTAGATTATCAAGTTTATGGATTACCTACTGGAACTCCTAGTTCCTGATTACAGCTTCACTTAATAATTTAAGTGTTATCCACCACGTTTCAGTAATATGTACCTGTAATGCTTTACAATGATTTGCAGCAGACAGTACACCCTCTCACTCTGTTGCAAATTTCTACAGTAAAACCATGATAAGTACTTACTATACCAGCAAAAACCACTGGCACCATTAATTTCCTAACGCTGTATATATGGAATACCATCACATATAACGATGTTTTTTTTTCTGGCACATTTGTCATAATAAGTGATTCCCAGTTAGCAACCAGTTTTCTTGTAACTTTTTGCACCAACTATTCTCGCAGTTTTACTTCCAAAGTTAGTTACAGCTAACAGCCCACAAAGTTCCCACTAACCCACCCTCATGGTTCCCGTGGTCTATGGATAAGACAGTGGCACAGTGTTCAGAAGGTCCATGGTTCAATACCACAAGGATTTAAAAGAGGGCCCCGCCATAGCTCAGGTGGTTAGTCGCTGGCTTCACACTGCAGCAGCTCAGGTTTGAGCCCAGGTCTGGTCATGTGGGATCTGTGGTGGACAAAGTGGCAGATTTTCTCCAAGTACTTCAGTTTCCCTTACCAGTATTCATTCGGTTAATTGCTCCACAATCTTCATCACCTATCATCTGGGGCTGGTACAATAGGCCAGTAGTGGCCGCAGTACCAAGTGAACTCAGACTCACCCCACTAAAAATAATAACCCACCCTCACTGTCCTACCCTTGCCTAGCAGAATGTTTCCATTCCATAATCTAACTGCAAACAGCTTACCTCTACATTTTAACCACTGAGAAATATACATCTTACTTGTGAGCAGAATATGAGTGATCCATGCTTGTGGGCATGCAGAAAATAGTAGGCAGGGCTTCTGCTTGTAGAGGACTCCTAATCAGCACACAGTTGCAAGTAGACGAGATCCCATAGGTTTAAGAAAATCTTTTAACTCTTCAGTTCAGATAATGCTAATAACAATGAGAATGCTGAATTATTCTTTGTATTTTCAAATCCCCATGATAATCAATTCAAAAAAGAAGAAATATTGTTGTATGTGCATTATTATTTAAACTTGGGTGTTACACTGTTTCATATGTAACTGGAAGTCACGGAATGGGAAACAAACATATAAAACCATACCAGACAAGCAGCAATTCTATATGAACTAACAAACCAACCAAATTAAGCAGAGTACTTCTTCAGAAGCTAACAGTTGCTTCACTAGTCAAGAAATTTTCTTCCTTAATGGGACTCAAAAATGTTCATTGCTGTGTTCACAAAAGCTTGCCACTTGAGCCTATTTTGAGCCAGGCGAATCCATTCAACATCCTCCCACCTACTTCCTGTGTAATATTCCATAACATGCTAGTTTTTTATAGGGCTTGTTAACAAGCTGGCAGATTACCCAGTGTTGGCTGTCCCTTACGCTTTATTCAACACATTTTCAGCTTCCCTCTACACCTGTAGATGATATCACACTTAAAAAGTAGGAAAATCACTCCTGAGCTTTGGAATAAGTGTCCATGCATTCATATTCAGCAAACTACAGGACATACATACCAGAGACAACAAAGCTGGCAGTTCTGCAATATTTACAAGTGTTACATGCAATATGTGTCCAGGCGTAACTTTCCTTCATTTTCTGTTAGATACAAAAGGTCGGCCATTGTCTGCTCACAGATAGCTTCTTCTGCTTTCTCGTACATCTGGCAATAATAAAAAGACACATGAATTTCATTTCTTATTTTACACCCAAAGCGAAAAATAGTGTAAGAATGAGCAAACAACTTAAAGTTTAAGAAGGGTGTAAAGGAACGTGGAATAGACAAACCAAAACACAGAACAAAAAGCTGAGAAGATTTGAGATTTTCATAGCAGTGGCTATGAAGACTGCTTCAAAAAGCTGATAGTTGTGAAAATAAGAAATGGAAAAGTGAAGTGTAATAATGGGAATAAACTGATAAACAGAAGACAACAAACATACACACGCTCACACACACATATGCACTTCCACACCCCTCCCCCTTCTTCAGCAAGTTACTTACATTCATCATACAGTAATGACAGGAAGAGGAAAATTCAGGAGGATGTGACCAAAATAATTTGGAGTACTAGGCAACTTTACCACTTAATACAAAAGATCCTGCATTAAGTTTAACATACAATTTTCCTTCCCATACAACCTTGAGCCCTGAGGGCTCAAGACGTTACCTTCTTATTGCCATAGCATCTATGCACTTCCCAAATTGGTGTATGGATTTTCTAGCAGCAAGCAGAATAATAACATCATGGCATATCTGCTGAAATCCAGGACTGTGACGCCACCAGTGACAGCTGTTGCTAGGGAACAGCATATTAACAACACATGACTCAGTCTTTTCTATGTGGTCCCCACCACGTTCTCACAGCAACAAGTATGCACACAACATAGAGGAACTCTTGGAAGCAGTGTTTTCTGTTAGGTCTGTCCCGATGCTATATCATGAGGACCATTACGACAAACCAATCAGTCAAGAGAGTGTCTTGAGTCTGCAGTTTGCTGCTAGCAGATAGTCACACCTGGCAGAGGCATGGGAGGCAGAGCAGCACCCATATTTGAGAGTTGCTGTGTAGTAACGCTGGGTACTTAGCTGTAAGATAGGCACCTGCCAGTGAGGATGGGGTGGCATATCCCATCATCTATGAGCTGAGCACAGAATGATTCAAACTAGTCATGTTATTCATGAACAACTTCTGTTTCATTGCATGCTTGAAAACGTTATGCATGGAACAAGTAATGTGTAAGTTTGAAACACCCTCCAGAGTTAACTGGAAGAACATGGAGCAAGAATGATGGATAATTAAGAACACAGGTGGCCAAAGTATAATAACTAGACAATGAGAAAGGGGAATTTAAGGTAGCAAAAACTAGAAAAGAACCGGAAACAAGAAAGGAAAGGCCAAAAGAAAAATGACTTCCAGTGAAAGTGAGGGCAAGTTTTTACAGAAGAACAAAATTAAGTTTGGATGAAACTTTCTTGGATCAAGAAACTAGCAGCAATAACAAAAATTTCTAATGTAATGATAAGCTGGAAAACATATCTAACTATATAATTTTTAGCATCAACTTGGCATTTAAAACCTGCTGTTCTGAAATTTCAGGAATATAAAGTTGATCCACCTTTGGTGTAGAGGAATAGGGGTTTTAAATCTCCCAGCATTACATGAGTAGCAGCCATGTTTTAATTCAGGGGGAAACAGTTTATCATCAGTGAACAGGATAATTTAAATCTCTCACTTCTACATATCTGGCGGCCAAATGTTAACTTGTGGGTGATGGTGTAAGTATTGAAACGATGCAGCACTCATCCAGCTGGATCATGCAATGTGCCAACCTTAATAATAAGAAGTTTTTAACCCTTGCAAGCATGAAGTTCCTCTAAATAATATTTAAAAACTGAGTTCCTACCTCAAAGAAAACACAGTGCTTCTCCATTACAAAGCCCAATCGGTTAATTATTTTTATTGAAATAGTTGCCACTGCTTAAAAGGATTAATTAATTAAAAGTAAATTAAATATTAATTGATCACTTTCTTACTCACCCCTCGAAATGACATGTTAGATGGTGAATATTTGAAGTTGGGGCCAAAATTGACAGAAACAGTAGCACTTTTGTGTATAGAAAGTGTAGGGAAGTAATGTCCACCATATATGTCACTGAAGGCAACCCCCTGACACGCTCCATTCTTGAAGAAAATCAATTTACTGCCTGAAAGAACTTTCAGTGCCTTCAAACTTTCTGTAACTCGGTCCTTCTCTTCATAATATAAATGACTTTTGAACTTCACCAGTGGCTGTAGAAAGGAAGATACAGAGTTCTTTAGAAATTTACAGCTATATGTATTAGCAGGGATTAAACAGTTTCAGAAGTCCATAAACCTTAAAAAATAAGATAATTATAAAATTGAATGTGGCTTTCAACAGCTCCTCTCCAGAATAAATATAATTTATAATGAAGAGTTCTATCTTCCTAGATATGACAGTGTGTACTCCACTGAAAGTCTACTGATGTTTCAAAGGAACATGTCCCCTCCATCTTCAGAACTTAAGATTAAGTTCTGCTTTATGCTAGTTTCTTGCTTGGCCTACTATTCAACCCGCAAGATGGGGCCAACATGTTCCTCAGAAACATCAGCTGACATTCAAAGGACTGCGTAGCATAATATCCTAAAGGACAAAAATCTTAACCACTACCACCATGAGAGCCTCAAATCCTACAAGATTTATGACATACTCTGTTTACACAATTCCCTCAGACTGCTCAAATAACACGTCACATCAATGACACATGGCCACCACTGCTACCAGTTTGTAAGCCATATCAATGACAAGAGTAACAAAATGTATCCCCTCCACCAGATGAGATAGAAGAAAACAATTAAATACAAAACTCTGTGATTTTAGTCCGCAAGCGAACTATAATGACCAAGGGACCGCCACTTGTCGGCGAAGTTTAGTGCCAACTTTTGGGGACAGGGGGCGTCACATGGTCAGCGCAACGAATCCCCACAGCCGTTAATTTCGGTTTCCTAGACTGTAGCTCCTATTTCCTTGAAATAGCTCCTCAATTATCATCCCGTGGCTGAGTCAACCCAGTTCCAGACCCACTACTTCTCAGAAAATCTGGTAGCGCCGGGAATCAAAGCTGGACCTCTGGATCTGTAGCCAGGAACGCTGATCACTAGACCACAGAGAGCGGGATTACTCCAAGTACTTCAGTTTCCCCTGCCAATCTTCATTCCACCAAATTCTCCATCATCATAATCAGCCAGGGCAGGCCACAATTGGCCAATCAGTGGCCGCCATGCCGAGTGGACCCAGTCGGAATCCACCCCCAACTAAGCGAATTTAAAAAAAAAAACATGGCCCCACTGGTGGCTTGCATACCAAGTGGGCTCAGTCTCACCCCACCCCCAACAGCCCTGACCAAATTTACAGCCATTTGTACATGAACTAGGATTCATAGAACACCTTGTAAAAAGAAATAACTTACCCTGTCTTTGTATGTATGAGGAATGTAATTAATTTCAGGGGATTCTGGAAGAATGATAAGAAAGCCCAATGTGTCCCCCTCTCCATAGCCTGAACTATAGTGCTTTCCTCTGCATTCATGGAACCTGGTGCCCTTCCTGATACATGAAAACAAAGAAGATTCTTACATGTAGCCACAGGCATAGTAGTTGATTTTGTCTTCTCAGAATATCTATATTAACTGACTTCGGTACTTTCAAAATAATAGTGAATTATCACAAAACTGTCTTATGTAAGTATATTTTGTTTCCTTCCATATAAATAAAGTGTTCTGAGTCTCTTCCAGCAGCATTCCACATCCATCAAAGTGGCTGTCAGCTAAATAGGCAGAATGCTATCCGTCCATCAGTACACCCAGCCACCCACCCACCCACCAGCCCACCCATCCATCCATCTATAAACACCTACCTACCTACCTACCCAACCACACACCCAATACAGTAAAACACATCAGATATCAAGAAAGTTGCATCTGACAATAGTTCACACCAATTATTTTTAATTTAACATCGCTTTTAACTTTTAATTAAGAAAAATATTACTAGATATATTTTAAATCTTTTATTTCTACATACAATTATAAAGTTTTCTTTAAGATATAGTATTTCCCTTGAAGACAGCCATTTATGACTGAAAATGTTAGGGTCTTAATAGATGTTATATTTTAGCGTCCTGTTGCACTGATTTAAGTCCATGATTTATTTCAACTGTCTTCCAGTGCATACACTCATCTATCTCCTCCTCTCACTCGCACTACATGTTTCGGCACAAAAGTGCCATCTTCAGGTGCTTATTCAATTTACGCTAAACTAGTTCATTGCATGCCTTGTCTTCATATTAAAATAACTAAAATATATATTTATCATATATATTGATAAATNAATAGATTTTAATCACCGTAAGAAAAAATAAATTAGGTTACACTCAAATAGTGACTTAACATCTTATTTTCATTCTTGAAGTGTGTGTTTCTAGTCAAATTCCTTGATAAGCAGAAAGTAATACATGACCATAGCAGTTAAGCCAACTCTAAACCAAATACAAAATCAATTTCAATACATTTTATTGCAACTGACCTAGATCTCCAAGAATATCCAAATTTGTCGTAACCAAGGGGAGCCTGTAGATTCGCATATTCTTGTGCCCAGCCAAGACGGGTTGCAGATGATTCTGGCATTTCTTCAATAGTAGCCTCCCAGTACCAAGAGCCTCGGCTCACAGCTGTAAGGATGAGCATGTTTCTATTCAAGGTCTTTTACAGGTATCATCATGTGTACCACATGAATATTATGTTGGACACTGTTCACTGAGATATATTTGATATACATGAGAATTCAGGAGTTTGTTCTATGTCCTTCTTGGTGACTGGTCGCCATATGAGACTTTAATGTCTCATGGTGATGAGTAGATGAGACAGGGACCTATCTACTGAACTACACTCTGTCACATCTCTGAAGACTGTGATCTGGATGGTTGTCATTATTATTATTTATTATTATTGTTTATTATTACTATTTTTTGACCTACTCTCCATATTAAAAAAAACAAAAGGAGACTTGTGAGATCACCTTGCTGTCTGTGTGTCTGTGCCCCCTTCTAATGCCTGAAAGCTGAAATAGTGGAGCCAGAAGAGAAAGCCACTGCTAGGCAATGGCTCAGTAAATACATTCCCATGACAACAAATATATGTGCAACAACAAAATAACTGTTGGATGCAGAGTTTTCTATGTGGTGAATGTCATAACATACCCAGAATATAGTGAAAGGAAAACAGGTGATTAGTTCTTCCAATTTTTTTTGGGGGGGGGATCAGTTGGTGACAGCTTGGATGAAATCCAAGACATTTAAATACAACGGTTAGTACACAGTGTTTATTCTCAGCCTTATTAAAGCAACTTTCATAATGTTTCCATGGCCACATGGCTACTACAATATTGTCACATTTCCACTTATTGTTTCACTATTTATATAACACGTTTCAGTTTTAGAGTGAAAGAGTAAATGACAGACAGCAAACTAGCCACTATACCAACAGGTCATGTTTATGAAATATACCTGAGACTTAGACAATGTAAAATATCCTACATAATATTGGTATAGTGAATGAAACATTGACATAAAACGTTAACACATTCATCAGGACCAAATCTAATCTAGCAAAGATGTCAGTCAGTCCTAATTTCACCATATTAACCCTTTCGCGTGGTTATTTAAATTCTGCTGCCGTGTCTCTCCGGCGGTAATATATTCAGCCGGCCATTTAAATTTTGCTCGAAAATGATTTATTCATCATTGTTCTTAAATTATATGAGATAAGAACATGAAACTTTCACTAAAATGATCTTAAAAGGTGGTTTTATAACCTTGCCTTATAATATGAGCGCCCGGTATCTCGGCAATGGAAGCAGGTGGTTCAGAATTTGAACGGAGTGTGGCACGCATTGAAGCATTCTACTATACACAGCGCTGACTCACATTCACCACACCAGTACTGCGTGTCTCTCATTTGGCTCTTTTTTCCGTAAACCAAACATCTTCTGTGCGGCCTTGCCTTCTTCCCCGTGAGGGGTATAAGTTCAAGGAATTGTCTTTCCATGAGCAATTAGCTAGTCAGGTCAGCTGCAGTAAATTCAACGTTACGAGTTATCATAACAAGGGGTTGTTGCTATGCCTTTGATATTCCATCCATTTTGGCGGCAGTAGATGTCGTAGGGGTGACCACAGAATTCATGAAGTTATTCTAAGAACTGGCTGGTATGTAGTGCATGAAAGCAGAGCTTAGCTGGCTCAAAAAAATATTTATGGTCATCCCTCGAAACGACCACCAAGGTCAGTACGATAAAATGCTGTCAACTGGAGCGATAATACATGAAGGAATGAGTTCTTTCCCCCCCCCCACACACACACACACACCCATCATCACAGGGGGTGACCACAGTGTTCNGACTTAGCGCAGATAAAGTCGTGTCTCATTATAGATAGTCCTTGTGACAACAGGCCAGCGAAAAATCTAACAATCTACAGCAAAACCATCAATTATTATGGGCGTTATAACATAGGTGTGCAGCTGGACGAAACATAGACGTCGAACCCCCCCAGACGATTTAAATACCTGACGAAACATACACGTCAAACCACGCTGAACGGTTAAACATAGAATCGCCGGTCACGGTAGCTGAGCGGTCTAAGGCACACACTGTCTTCGCTCGCTCGGAAGCCGGGATCGTGGGTTCGAATCCCACTCAGGGCATGGATGTTTGTGTGCGTTTTTCTGTGTTTGTGTACAAGTAGAGGCCTTGAGACAAGCTGATCACCCGCCCAAGGAGTCCTACTGAATGTGTAAGATCTAGGAAAACCAAGTGAACGGAGAAGTTCATGGAGGTAGGCCTATGCCCACTGGGGCTGTAGCGCCAAGAGAAAAAAAAACATAGAATCATCACAAAGAAATTATAGTGTGAAAAACCCTTGCGATCTGTAATATCAGATAATTAGTTTACTTCTCCTTATAAGTAAAATAATAATAATAATAATAAGTTCATTTGGGTACTTGCTGGGGAACAACTATCTGCCCTATCAAGCTCACGACAATACCGTATTTACACATGTATAAGCCGTGTGCGTGTATAGGCCGCAGCACAATTTTCAGACAGAAATTATAGAAAAAATAATTTTCTTGGAATATTATTTCAGGAGTATAAATTATTCCGAAATTTGGCAACGTTTAATTTTTTTTAAAAGAAGTGTGATTTCGAATATTTCGAATATAAGCCGCACCCCAGTTTTCCTCTTGAATTTTTGGCAAAAAATGTGCGGCCTATACATGCGTAAATACGGTATCCTCCACTCATGATTGATTCTTGGAACTATTATCTCTCCTTAGTGATGCCCAATCAGAAAGCTTGATGGACTCGTAGATTATTCAATGATACTTAGGTTATAAAGAACCATATGAGATGGGAACATGATTACAATAACATGTAGGGAGGAATTTGTAAATAGGCGGTCATGGCATATTTGAAGATACTACCCCGGCATATTCACCCGAAAAGACTGAAAAAGCCCATGAATTAGGACAGATGGCAGACTGCATGAGATTTGAATTGAGTACTTCCTGAATACAAGTCTTAAGCTTTACCACTACACCAACACACTTGGCCAACCAGAGAAAATGTAATCACACCACATATCCCGCAGACATATTGCAGTTACTGTAATTTGCGCTGATCAATGTATCTGCATTTCTACTACTTCAATGTTTAAAACATGCTGTGTCAAACTGGTTAAATGCTAGATAGAATTCTTACAAAATCCAACACTCCTACAAAAATATACTTACACAAACATAAACTATCAGGACTATAAACAATTAGATGTATTAATTTTCCTTCAGAAGTTGATACTTATCTATTTGCTTTAACTACTATCATATCATGTGGTCTTATATTTCAGCTCACCGTGTGTTGCCCTGACCATGCAGTAACCCTTATCCCCTGTCACGGCAAGGCGATCCTCTGATATTCGCAGCTGTGGAGCCCGATCATGCAGGGCTAGCAGGACCGAGCTTGGACTCAGAGTGCGATACAGCCAACCCGGTATAGGTTTCCCAGCCCAGTCACTGCTTTCATCAAATTCCTGTTAAAAACAGTTCCCTATTATGATTAGCTAGCCCTTTCATTGTGCATAATGTTCTCACCATTTTTCTAAATTAATGTACTTTTAAGGTACAAATAAAGAGAAAAAGCAACAAAAATGCATTTTCATAGCCCAGTGAATGTAGTCAAATTACACAGAGAAAAGACATGACTATTTCTTGATGTGGACTGAGGCTGAATATTGCAGCAACAGGGTTAGAGGTGTACAAAATAGTCATTTGAAAACAGAACCTTTAATTACACATGCTTTTTCAAAACACACTTAATAACTAAACTGTGAGTTGATTTCTGATTTTTGCTCCTTACACACATCAATAAATTATTCATGTAATACATTTACACCAAGGCTGGAATTGTATTTGCCTTGGTTAGCTTGCTTAAAGCAAAAGGACGAGCTTATTTCTGGAGCCCTGTGAAGATGAGTAGAGATGCACACAAAACCCTTCCTGAAAACTGGCAGTTGAGAAATTACATTTTAAAAAAGAAGAAAATAATTTTGTATAAAAATTACTTCACATCAATATGGAGCAAAACAGAAGCACAGATCAGGCAGAATAAGTAGACAAGCATCAGGAAACACTATCTTAAAGCATTTAATTACTCACTCACTTGTCGAAATGGTGCATGTGGATCTGGCTCTGCTAAGATGTAACGGTATCCATCTTTGTTGTACGGATGCTCCAGTGGGTACCCATGAGCAGGAAGCTTAGGGGCAGCTGCCTCACCACCACCTCGACCTTTCTTGCCTGCTCCCTGACCCTGATCACCACCTGGCAGCTTTCTCTTTGTGCTGCGACCCTTAACACCACCTGAAAATAGTCACAAAATTCAGAGAAGAATCCGAGAATTTACTAAGAGCCATCACATTCTATGAGAAATATAAGATATAAAATGGCTTCATTTCAGAACTTGCCTGACATCATCTTCTACCTGGGAATGTTCATATAGAATGAAAATACCTAGTTTTGATTTTAATCTGTATGATTTACACTATCTTATCTATTTTATATAGTAATCAATATACCACAGTGAAAAGTATCCATATCAGAAACGAGGATTGATTACAGGAGAGGAGCTGAAATAATCAGGGTGTGGCGAGGAGAAGCCTGCCACACTTCTTTACTCTGTGCAAAACATAAGTCATTCCAAGTAATGCAAACTGAAGCCACATTCAACAAAAATGGAGAACACGTATTTACCAGAAGTCTCCTTTGCTATTTTTCATCTCATTGGTTTTGATGGTTTTTCTGTTGCACATACTGAAGTTTTGCACATAAAGATAATCCCCAACCCCCAAGAAAATAAAAGAAAAACAGAAAAGACAGCAAAAAATCCTATTTGGTTAATTGGAAGAACGTCCATAGAAACAAGGTTTTGCTTTACAAAACAATAACAAAACCAATTTGGGTATATGGAGTGGAAATAAGGGGATGTGCTAGCAAAACCAATATTTCCATAATCCAGAGATGTCAGTCAAAGATACTACGTATGATTACTAATGCCCCATGGTATGTTTCCAATATAACACTCCATGAAGACCTGAAAGTGCCGCTAGTGAAGGAAGTCATAATAGGGAAAAGCACAAGATACCTGAACAAAATAGAAGGACATGAGAACATACTAATGCAACCGTTACTGGAACCGCACAATGAATGAAGACTGAAAAGGAACTGGCCAGCCGACCTGAGAGAGGGGTAACGAGGACTTATCGCTGGATAAGCCTTCTCCACGTCACGAAGAATAATACAGCAAATTAGCTTATAGAATCAAATGTAATTCTGATTGCTAACATTATGTAAAAAAAAAAAACCTCCACGACGCCCCTTACAGGGTGGAATAGGAATTTATGAAAGATTCTAACAGAATATTTTAATGAATTTTAAGTAATTATTTCTGTTATTTTAAGTGGACTACAACATGCCATTTTAGCACATATCAAAGCAGTGTGACAGATTGAACACATTGAAACACATGAGGATGGCCGTCTGTGGCCGAAACATGTGGTGTTAGTGGTAAATGGTGAATATTTTAATGACTGTTGTATTACTGAAGGACTTAATACACAGATGTTTAAACTGAACAAATCATTTGTGCACATACTTAAGTATGACGAGTTACATCTACTGGGATACAATGTTGCACAGTCCACTCAAAGTCAACCAACATTTCAGAGAAACATTCTTCCTCCATCTTCAGGTTTGACAAGTAAGCTAAACAAGAAACCAGCAGGAAGCAAGATGCTTCAACTGCAGCGTGACAAAAATTTACTAATTTTCATGAAAGTTTCTAGTATAAATTAAATCCAGATGCCTGACACATACCATGCTGAATGCCCATATCGGTAACTTTGAGATGGCCCCCACGAATCATTGCCTCATAATTTGGTTTGATATGAGTTAGATCTGCAGCCAGCAGCCCAAATAGGGGCTGGCCCCCATCACTGGAGTCTTCTTCACATATAAACAGTGTCCCAACATCCTTCGTCAGAGCCCGATTAATCTAAAAAATAAAATTTCTCCAGTTATCTGAGATTGTTTCAGTAAATGAAGTTGAATGGTTGGGCTGTAATCAGATCAGGTTTGTCACATGCTCTCTCTTGACTACCAATAAGAATATAGGGCTATTATAAATGGTTTTGGTGACAAAAAATTAGTGTATTTTCAAAACAGTTCAAGATAAAAATATGAAACAACTCGAAATCAGCAAGGAAACTCATAAAGTTTATCCAGAGATGTATGATATGTAATCCATTAGTTATTTTGCAAGCATCAATGTGATATTCAAATTCTGCACATGTATGCCACACAAAAATTCACTTGCAAAGATCACAAAGAGATGGCATCAGTGGTTGGTATACCTGGTCTCCCACATATCAACTTAGGTAGAAGTCGAAGAGAGTCCATGGAATTGATCCTGCTTGTCCTACTGTACTTTCTGCATTTCACCGCCATTTTCCTTTCATAATGACTGGAATGCCACTAATGTCTGATACATGTAATCAGTGATGCCAAAGAAAACTTTATGAAGTTTCCTTGCTGTTTTCAAGTTGTTTCACGTTTGTATCTGTAACTGTTTCAAAAATATACTAATTTCTTATCACCTGGCCATAAAACAGAAGCACAATTTTCTGCAAATTGCAGTAACTTTATTTTGCAACCATGTCATGGCCTCAGAAAGCTATACTTGATACAGTTTAAGCCTTACATAATACAAAATTAAATCAAAGTAAATATCTGACATAGTCAGAATGTTAAATTTGCCCTTTTTCATTTTATTAAAATCCCAAAGAAGTCACGTCATTGCCCTCTTTATTCACCTGTCTACTGGACGACACTAAAGAGTCCTATTCTTCAAACAACGGAACCACAACATGCAATACATTCATCTTCCTTAACGAGAAGAAGTAAAAAGACACAGACCAAACTGGTTCTAGATTTTAACAAACAGTTTCTTAAACATTATTAGTAAATAGACTAATTATAATAATTTACAAATGTTTTAACAAATTCAAGCACATCTTAGTAACTGTTAAATGATATAATATTTTATACCTATGACAATGTAATAGTAGTTTCTGTATGTATTGATAATGACCAATGACACTGTAATAGTAGTTTCCATATGTACTGATAATGTCCTTCTGAAGATGGTCGCTCTGACAAAAGCATGTAAAGGATGAAAGATTAAAAAATGCAACTTTTATTAATAACACTGGACGGCATTAAAAATCTTTTATACTGTTACTAGTGTGACGGACCGGGATGAACCAAGTCAGATTTACAGAACTTCACACAAAACTTGATGCAGATACATTGCTCAGTTTTTCAACTTATCACAGACAAAACAAAACAATAAGGCGAAAAAGCACTCGTGTAAAAACGATGTGTTCACAGTGATGTGTCACGTGGCAGACTGATGCAACAGGCTTTCAGAAATGTGATCTTGGCGTCCCCTCTCATCTTCTTTCATGGAGGCAATTATAACAATAACAGTCCAGGAACTTTCCGATACCACATCACAATGGGCCCAACTGAGTATATTTATATTTTTGACTGGTGTAAAAAATTCTGAAATGTGCTTCTGCAACCAAAATATGACAATGGGTGACGTGTAATATATACATCAATTCAGAGCTAGAGGATGAATAGTGAACGAGCTTGTTAGGATCTGGCTACATCTCACAGCAAACACAGTATATCAATTCTGGTGCATTTCCTCCCTTTTGTTTAATTATCTTTAAAAGGGGAATCTTAAAGGGAAAACTGAGACCAATTAAATATTTGGTTTCTCTCTGCAGCTTCTGTTTTCACTCTGATAAATATTGAGTGAGTTTGGGTCAAGATGCCTGAAGAAATACAGATAGATCTTCATGCAGTGTCCATTGCTGTTATCCAATTCTAACCAAAACTTGAAGGTATTGACGAATTTTAATAAAATATTCTTATGTAAGATTTGAGGCTTTCACGGCGGTGACTATGAAGAAAGCAGTCTTCTGGGATTTGGCACCGTGTATAAGTGGTGTTAACCGACGTTTCGGAGGAACGTATTGCCTCCATCTTCAGGGTAGAAGAAAAATATAAGAATTCTGCAAGCGAAGAGACCGTGAGAACCGGTAAAAGCAGACTGTGTGGGAATGTCAGTCTGCTTTTACCGGTTCTCACGGTCTCTTCGCTTGCAGAATTCTTATATTTTTCTTCTACCCTGAAGATGGAGGCAATACGTTCCTCCGAAACGTCGGTTAACACCACTTATACACGGTGCCAAATCCCAGAAGACTGCTTTCTTCAAAATATTCCTAGCCAAATTTAATGAAAATATGTTCAGCGCTTCTCGATAGTTACATGCAGACAGCCAGACATGGATACATGGAGGCAGATGGACATGGCAAAGCTAATTAGGTGCATTTTTGCAAACTTCTCACTGTGAATGCACCAAAAGTTCAGAATTTGCTCTGAAGTGGATTATAAAGCCCAGTTAACAAGCATGCTGAAATGTTCCAAATTAAGCAACATTCAGTTTCATCAACAAGAACACGAGTGACTGTTTAATACCACTGTCGCATCAAGCAACACAGAACTTGTTCAGCTGTGATACAACTGAATTGTTACACTGACAGTTCTCCTGCCGGATAGTTCCTAGCCAATGACGACTCCACTCTGCTTGGTCTACACTCATCCATATATACAATTTACATATCTGTCTGCTCCTGCATCACACTATCTTGGAAATTAATAATGATATTAAGTGTAAAAACAAAATATGTTCGGTGTAGGAAAGAGTAAGTAAAAAAAAAAGTAAAGCTATGCCTGTAACAGGCTGTGAAGGCCCATAGAGTTGTGAGACGTTGAGGGTCCCATATTATCTAGACAATCAGCTCAAGGTTGTCAGCCTTATGTGCCAGCCGCGCTTTACCCCCCAGGAAAATTATTTAATTGATTCCTGGTACTCATTTCTGTTAGAGGCTGAGTCGACCCCAGGGCTATAGTGTGGCTGGAAGGATTGGGTTAATTGAAAAAACTGCAATGACCTCATCAGGACTTGAACCCATGACCTTCCAACTTGTAGCACTGTGCCTCGGAAAATTTGTTAACTTTACAGCTATATGCAACGGTTTGAGTCTAAGTCAATTTCTTTCTCTGCAAGGAAGTCATTGTGGTTGTGACAACATGAGTAAATTTTAACAGTAACTCTGGTAATTTAACATGTTCTGAAGGTCACAGAAATAACCTATGTCTTGTAATGTGCAGTAACAATGGTATACAAGAACTGCAAGAGGGAATGTGCATTGCTTGGTAATGCCCAGAACATACACGGATGCAATAAAAGACCGAAGTTTTCTATGTGGTCCGTGCTGCACAGTCACTGCTATGCATCAGCGCAATAAACATGCCTCAACTATAGGGAGTTTGTTTGCTTATTATGATCCATGCTGAGGAGTTATCAAGAAGACAACTGGTGCTACAGTCAGTTGAGGCTGTTCAGTGGTGGAGTTGAGAGTCAAGAATTCAGTTGTGGAATGTTAACCAGCAGGCAACAGAGTGAACACAGAAGGTGAGGAATGTCCAATGCTAAGATTCCTTACCAGGAAACATCTAGTGAAAACACTGCAGAGGAACAGCCACCATTGAGAGCTGTTACCAAGTAAAGGCTAGTGAAAGCAGACTAAGAAGACTTAGCATGCAGTGATTTGTAGTGTGGAAATCAGCAGTTGTGTTCTGGTTATTTGTAGTTATGATCTGTAAGTTGTCAATAAATCTATTCATCAATCCAAACCCCATCTATAGTCATTGATATATGTGACAGTATCATAAATAACAACCATGAACAAAAACTGTTCCTCAAATTGCCATGTCGAATTTCTGCAAGGGCACACTAGTACAACATAACAACCGATGTTTTTCATCACATCAAGCCCTCATGATGGAGACAGAGATAGTATCTAAAATATTGGACTTTTATGTGGTATTGAATGGCTGATCACCCATGCAGAATTTTACATTTCTGGGTGCTGCAAAAATTTACAGATGTAATTGTATTCTCAATTCCACCATAGCCCTATTCTTACCATATGACACTGCATACATTCTTACCCTCATTATCACAGACTGAGTATCAAATATTTCTTTATTATGGTTCATCTCAAATCTAGAGCATCTTATGATAACATTCAGATAGAAAAAAGAACAGCAGACAACTCACTGTTGAATGCCATGACTGTGTCACTCTTCGAGGCATTGTGGTCATTCCCTCCCAATGAGAATCAATGAATGGAATAATATCTCGTTCCTTGGAGAACATTGTACGTGGTGATCCTTCTTTCACACTGGCTTGCATCAAATTCCCAAGTGCTGTGACACACATCTGAGGAAATGCTGCACATAAAGAAACCACCATATAAACAAAACAAAACAACAAACTCCATGGCTTTAGTCCAGTTCTTCAACACAGCAATGTATACTAATATACTCCAATTATTGTTTTTGGTCATCACCAATCATCCTGTTTTTTATTTAAAATGCAACATTCCACAGGCTGGAGTCTGTCTCCATCTTCAGGATAAAACCTATTCAGTTGGGCCCAGTCAATAGAGTTGGTGCCTATCTTCGGAGACAGAATCCAGTCTCCAAAATGCTGTTTTAAACAAAAAGAAGAGAAGAATGGATAATGTCCAAAAACACAATAACTGGATTAATGTACCACTGTCACAAACTTTTGGATTTTATTTATGTTAATGTACTGCACAGTAATTTGACACAACCCAACAATTCTTTTGTATACAAAAGTTTCTGTTTTAGACTGGTTCATAGAGCAGAGATAACAAATTATTTATACTCACGTGCTTGGTTCTTTTTGAAGCTTTCAAGACCCGTGGGGGAACAATTTTTGCAAACAAAAAAATAATTCATCATAAACGGGACCAATTTTCCAAGTTGGTAACCAATGCAAGATTCATGGTACCAACGGAAACAGATGGCACACAGTAGCTCTACGATGTTCAAGTTACGATCCTTGCCACTGCAAACATAGAAAACATGGCATATACTATAACAAGTGAAGTGTCGGATGAGGTACAAAAACATTTAACACTCTTCTGATAATTGCAACATTTATTTTCCATCTTAATTTCCCCAAATTTGACAAACAAATAATGAACTCCACACCTCTCCAATAATTCAGACACAAGTATCAGCAGCTTACCAGTAGCAATTGCCTTCTCTCTCAACCTGATGTGGTTTTGGTGCTCCATTGCTATTGTTGCTGTTAGCATTATTACCAATATGCTTCCTATCATCAAGTGCCACTACCTTGGAACTTTCAAACAATACTTCTGGAGGCTTCAATTCTGATTTCTGATTTTCATCTGAAATAGAGCTCTGAACCAGTGGCTTGGATGGAGCCTCAAGATCATTTCTGTCAACAATTACATTTGGAAATTACAACCAGAATTACAACACAGAATAAACGCAGACAAACATCCATGTGAGTTGACTTTCAACTCATGACCCAACTCATGACCCCAATGTTCATGCCTTAGACAGCGCAGCCACTTTAATCTGCTTGTTGGTACATATTAAACATCAATTACACTCAGATTTACTGCTGCATTACTTTACTGCTACAATGCTAAACCTGTGACTGACAACAATCTCTCTTATTTGGCTAGGTAAAATTTTTTTCTCTCTCCTCTCACTCCCACTTTGGAGCACAGGGCTGATTTCTGTTTCATGAGCAATTTCACAGACACTAGAACTCCTTGGATGGGTGATCAGCTCGTCACAAGGCCTCTACCTAAACACAGGAAAACACAAACACAGAATGAACACATACACACACCAAACATCCATGCCTTGTGTGGGATTCGAACCCATGATCCCGGGTTCCGAGCGAGCAAAGACAATACATGCCTTAGACCACCCACCTACCATGACCGGACTGTATTAAAATTACTTTTATTTATTCTGTATGCATGTGGGAGGAGCTGGGTTAGCACAGTTGGTATAGTGACTGACTATGGGCTGGACAACCAAGGGGTAGCAATTCAAGTCCCAGTAGGGTCAAGAATTTTCTCTTCTCCACGTTGTCCAGACTGGCTCTGGTGCCCACCCAGCCTTCTATCCAATGAGTACCAGGGGTAAAGCGGCAGGCCTGAAGCTGACCACTCACTTCCAGCTAGTGTGGAGGTCAAAAAAATGTGGATCTATACATTCACTCCCCCATACGCCTTCATGGTGTAGTGCTTAATAAGTTAAGCACAAGGGAAAACTTTACTATTACTTTCATATGCATGAGGGAGAAGAGGAATGCATGCAAGGTGCTGATGAGAAAGCTAGAAAGAAAAACACCACAAGGAGGATCTAGAAGGGTGAGATAATATTATTAAAGTGGATCAGAGAAACAGGATGGGATGGTGTGGACTGGATTACTTTGGCTCAGAATGAGGACTACTGGCAGGCTCCTGTGAACACAAAATGAAACTTCATGTTTCATACAATGTTGAGATATTCTCGAATAGCTGAGCAACTGGAGGCTTCTCAAGAAGGACTCAACTCCGTGGAGTTAGTCAGACAGCTGTTCTCCATTTTTTAACAAAACTTTAAATATCTCAAATTATATAACACTGAATCATAAAATGACTAATGATAAGTAAGATTTGAGGTTTACACAGCGGTGACTATGAAGAATATTGTATAAACAGACGTTTAGGAGGAATGTACTCTTATCACCTCCATCTTCAAGGTAGAAGAAAAAAGCAAAATCCATGAGCAAGAAACCAGCTGGGTGTTTGTGAATGGTCACTCAGTCTGCAGCCACCTGCTCAAGCTGGTTCCTTGCTTGCGATTTTTTATTTTTTCTTCTACCCTGAAGATGCAGGCGATATGTTCCTCTGATACGTTGGTGTATACAGTATCTACAAGGCACCACATCCAAGAAGGTGGTATTCTTCATGATTAATGACAAACTTGAATGGATGTGGAAAAGGTGGCTGTGGTGTGATTTCAGGGACTGTCACACAATTTTCATGAACTCAGGAAATCACAATAACTGCAGCCAACATAGGTGACTTCCAGGCTTAGATTTGAATCTAGGACCTCAGAAGCGGCCTCCGTAGTCTAGGGGTAATGTTCCCACCTCATGACTCAAGGTACGCAAGTTCAAACCCAGTGGAGGTTGTGGAATTTTTAAGGGCAGAAAAATTCAGGGAACAAGTCCTCCGAGAGGGACTTTAAGCCGTGGGTCCCGTGTCGTAGATTTACAGCACATAAAAGATCCTCATGTCTCTAGGAGACCTCTGAGCAAAATTAGGCAACAAGTTTCACACCCAAGTAGTTTCCAATGCCTCTGGTAGATGGGGGAAATATCAGGTACCGAGGGCCGACCTTGTTGGCTGAATGGGGCTGATAGCATGCACCAGTACCGGTAGGGTATGGCGACAGTAGAAATTAAAGGGGGAGGCACAATGGACCAATAACTGGTCTAAGTGCATGGGGAAACCCACCCCCTCTAATAATAATAATAATAATAATAATAATAATAACCTC